ACAGTAAAGCCAGCTGTCAAGAATAAAGTTTAGCTAGACTTTTCTTAATATATAGAAATTCAACATCTCTTATGGGAATGAAAGCCAGAAAATGTCCAAATACCAGTTAAGTCTGGATAACTGCTTGGTTGTATTACCACCAGTTGTCTCAAAACAGCTCTATTTTTACAAATTATTCAGCATTACCTGTATACTTGCATATTTGTGTGGTATTCTTCCATATACAGCATAGTACCCAGCACTAAACAGTGCTAAACTGGTCATAGTACTGGTAAGTTGATGCTATGACAACACTGCACTGAGCTTCCAATGGTCTGCTCTCTTCAGAAGCTAGTTAGTTAAAAGCCAGTTCAGATATTTCCTGTAACTGCAATAGAGGCAAGTCTCTCCTCCTAACAGCAAAGTCCAACATGCACTGACAGCCTGGTAAGTTCTCTCTTGGGAGGTCAGAGTTGAGTACAAGGCAGGCAGCAGTTAGTTCTCTGACACAGAGAAGCTACTGACCACCTCAGAACCTGAATTCCTGTTCTGCTTTTCACCTGCAAAGTTAGCAGTGAGATGTCTATATCTGATCTGAATGATGGTCTCTGAGATTGCTAGAAGATACTATAAAATTGAGTTCCTAGTTTTGATACTGCAGACTGATCATTGGTTTTGTCTTTCAGGATGGGATTCCTTATATGGGATCCAGTGCAGGAACCAATGTTGCTACCATCAGCATCAATACCACCAATGACATGCCAATTGTTTATCCACCTTCCCTGAAGGCTCTAGGATTAGTTCCTTTTAATATTAACCCCCACTACCTGGATCCAGATGTTAAAAGAACTCACATGGGTGTAAGTAAAGCACACTAGAACTAACACAGTAACCAGGGTGTGGAGGAGTAAAAATAGCGTGCATTTTTGAGGCCTTACAAAGCTACAATATATCAAACAGCTGCTCCCCAGAAAAACTGGAAATACCAATGAAGGCAGTAACACTTTGCTTCTTCCTAAAACTTAACTTTGCTTGGGAAGAGGAGTTGGCAACAGTATTACTGAACAAAGTGTTTTTCACAAACCGAAGCTCTGCAATGTCTGAAATACAGTTGAAACGCTTGGTATCTGGCATGGAATAGAAGACTTTAAAAAAAAAAAAGATAAGCCTAAAGTTTTAAGATGCAAAGCACTGTGGTTCTGGAAAATTCTGTCTTACCTGCTGCTTGGGAAGACCTAACTTAAACATAGATTAAGAGGCTTAAATATCTGAAGGTCTTCTGACCTTCAGGGAGATCTTGAGAGTCATAGAATTGTGTAAGAAGATACCTGGGCACTCGTGTCCTTGCAGGAAGCACAGCCTGTAATGCCCAGTACTGAGCAAGCACATGCACTAGCATAGCTGAAAGAAAAACATTTCAGCCATCAAGCATAAAGACAGATTGCCATACACTGGGGAGGAGCTCCTTCTTGAACAGCATGTCAGCTAATTCCTGGGAACAATCTGTGTGGTGCATCTTTTAACAACCTAAATACTTTCCTCTTTGTAATCAAAATTCCATGGTTAGAGGAAGTAACAAGAATTAGGGAACAATGAGGAACAGTGGATATGGGTGTGCTTCCAGAATTTAGATGAAGTTGCAGGTAGTGATTTAATCAGCTTGTCACTAGATAAACAGGAAGTTCTTTCCCCATAAATAACTTCTGCTCTTTCTCTCAGAGGAGGCTGGAAGCTCTGTGCTGTACCAAGTCCCTGCTGTGTTCCTGTGTTTTTCTTTACTGTTGCTCAGTTCAACAGTAAAGCTCAGGAAACATGACAGAGCTGTTGACAAAAGGAAATCCTTCAGTGTAATACCTACTTGAAGACAAACAAGCAAATACTTAATCACTAAAAATCCATGATTCACTACTCTATTTCACAAAGGTGGCACCTCAGGCATTTGCTACTACCACCTTCCTGCACACAGAGATAGTACAAATTAAAAAAAGAGCAATTGAGTAGAAGTAAGTTTTAAAGCTTTTCTGGGTTGGGATTGTGTAAGTTCTGTTTGATCAACCTGCAGTAAATTGCTGCTAGTGCTGAAGGGTAAAACACATACCTATTTAGAGTCAATCCTGCCATCCCATTCTGCTTGAGGGGAAGTGCCTGCTTTGTTTAATGTTATGAAATTGTTTGATGTCATATCACCTGAATAGCTCCAAGTCCTACCTTATGGCCTGGGAAGTTAAATCTATGCTCGTTATTGCAGGAGACAAGAGAGGAAAGAATCCGTCAGTATCACGAAGAACCAAACACCCCTCCAGTTCTGGTGAGTAGCAGTTCACCATCAGGAGGCTGTAGCATAATAAACATTGTAAATGCATTCATGATAGCTCTCAGTGTGGCTTCCCCACCTGTCAAGATTACAGAACCATGGCTTGGAATGCTAGTAGTATTCTTGTTAAGAGCTTCAGCCTTGGATATTACTCATTGTAGAAAATGGGTTAGGGCCAATGAAATGTATACTCCTGTTAGTGTTGCTCAACACCATTTTAGGCAGCTCTGATCTTCCCAGGCACTGGCCACCATATACTGTGTGTTGGGGGTGGTGTGCATGCAGATGGTACAAAACTCCCCTTAATCTTTTTGCAGATATTCTTAACCTGAATCTCTGTAATACAGTTTGTGAATTTGCACATTCAGTAGTGTATATGTAATTTCATTATGTCTGTCTGGAAAGTGGGACCTCTGCATTTCCTGTCCCAGTGTTTGATCTTGTAGTATAAAGTTTGTGCACTAACAAACCCAGCTGACTATTGCTTGGCCCAAACTCTATCTAAGAATAATTGTGGGAAAAAACAGTTTCCTCACCTCCTTAATAGTTTCTCCTTTAAGAGAGAAAACTGAAATAAACAAGAAAGTCAACTTCTAAAACAAGGTAACTCACCTAATTTTGTCTTAACCTCTGTTAGGTAAGCAAGAAGGTTTAGTCTGTAGTCATGGTGGCACTAAGACTGGCCTGCTTGTGACAAGCATTCTACCCTTTCACATAGCTTGAAAATCACTTTAAATGTTTCCACCTCCACCAGGGCTTGCGGGAAGGTACAATGCTGTTAGTGGAAGGAGATAAAGCCACGCTGCAAGGAGTGACAGGAGCACGTCTGTTTTTGAGGTAAATGCTTCACTTGAATTGATATCCTTCAGACAGAAAGGAAGAGAGGCTTCTATTAGACTCCTGGCACATGCTGCCTGTCCCCCACAGCAGAAGTTACTTAATCCTTTGGTTCCATTTCTCTTTGGGGAAAATGTGAGTATTGTTTAATGCTCCAAAGGAGCCAGCAGTATGACAGCACTTTAAAGGATGTCTAATCCAGTGTGTGCTTTGGCATTCCATCCATTGGTGCTTATGTTTCCAAATTCTAGTTAACTTTCACAGAAAGAGCCTCAATAGTCAGCTCCTTTAATGAAAGCCAGGGAAATACCAGTTTGGCCCTAATGCACTGAATTCCAGAACAAGGGAATCCAGCTAGAATTAGATGGACTTTATCTAAAATGCATGTTACATGATGTAGGCAAAGAAGTGAGTCAAAAATTTGCTTGTACAGAGTAAGGGTGCCTTGATCCATCCCTAGTAACAGATAGAAGCAGAGTAGCCCCACCTCCCATTAAAGCTCACAGCATGGTTTGTCTTGTTTGCAGGGGTAAGAAACCAACTGAACATGAGCCTGGAACAGATTTCAGTTTCCTCCTGACTGATAGCAATCTCCTGAATCCATAGCCTTCCATATTCTGCAGGAAAAGTTACTATATGGGGAAGACAATGAGGAAGAAGATGCTTATAGTCCCAGGGTGGGTGGTGAATCTCAGCTTTATAAATTAAGATAAATATGCATTATAGAAATAAATATAAATATGCATTAGTGGGCTCTTATCCTCACCCCGATGCATGTTTCAGACATCTCATTCCCAGCAAAAAGACTTTTTATTGCAGTACTTGGCTAATCATAGCTATTCAAAGCTTGAAGGGGCCTGTACATTCATGTATTCACTTTGATTCCTTCCCCACCAAAAAACAAAAGTTGCCTTAACACAATTAAGACAGGACACTGAGTCAGCTGTTCCCACTGCCTACTTTTACCTGCTAAATTAAAGAATTGTTCATTCAGTGTACTCCCACACTTAATTTAATTTTTGTGCTATTAATAAAGGGAGAAGTTTTGCATTCAATTACTTTTATTTGCTTCAGACTCATGTTAAATATATACAATGCTAATTATATACAAAAGTGTGCATGTTAAAAATTTTCAGGTTACAAACTTGCAAATCCTAGAAAAGTGCAAAATTTTAAAACGTCTTCCACCATGCTGTACAGGAAAAAAAAATCTATCATTAGCCAATATACACACTCTTAAAACATATTGATCAAAACAAAGTAAGACATACAGTATACTCTTAAAGCACCCAGAGGGAAAAAGATATTGCACAGAAGACAGACAGCAAGTTCATTACAGTGCCTGAAGGCTCATTTCTGAAAGTAGTTATTTCCAACACTCCTCAGACTTAACATTTAACTCTTTTAAAAGGCATTTTTTGGCATTTAAAGATCCATTTGTAATCACATAATTGCACAATCTGTAAGAATTATCAGAAGATATGGTTAACTGTTGCTGTAAGGCCTTTGCTTCCACCTCCAATTAGCTTCAGTAAAAATTCATCAGGCAAACTGAGTAGCATCACAGTTTCCATCAAAACACTGACCAAAGGGAGATAAGTCTCACATGCAGCATTTCTCTAATCTCATACTAAGTTGCTCCTGCAGGATCAGAATATGTATTGCAAATTTGTCTTGAATTCTTTTTTCTCCTCGTGGCTTCCTTTAAGAAACAGCTCACAGCTGCATATGACTGAAGTAGTACTGTCAGGTGCAAGACAAATTTATTTTAAAGCTATTTCAAGGCAGAATATATGGCTCCCTTGAGAGGAAAATACTGACTAAATAGGAAGCTAAATAAATAAGTAGCCTTCAACTTCAGTTAGATCTATGATATATATGGCTGGATGTTTTATATTCCAATCTCAAAACGCTTTAGCAGCTTTAAACCATAATCTATACTGACAATCATACTTCTGGGACAGAAGATGTGTGATGAAATTAGCACAGACCTAAACTCTGGAAATACCTGCCAAATTTCTCAAGTCCACTGGACAAAACTGAGAAGAACACATACAGAAGGAACTCTACCAAAAATAAGTGAAACATTTATTTTATTTGGGCCACTTAGGATAAATGAACTTAGGTAACTAAAAGAAAGACACACCAGTCTTCTTCCACAGATGCACAGCAAAAAGGTGAGTTAAAAATGAACAAAGGCTACCTTGGACTAAACACTGCAAGCAGTTCCTCACATATAGGGTGTTCAAGACTGCAGTAAGGTAAATGGCACTCGACTGAAATGCAGAGCATGCTATGGTGCCACTTGGAGGTCTTTTTACATTCAGGCATCTGATATCTGTAACACTGAAGAAGGGAACAATAGCATTTTACCAACTTTAAAATATATTTTTTAATGCAGTAGCTTTTTAGATGTGCTTACAAGGGCAATTTAGTAATAATAAGATTGGATTATTGGAATGGAAGGAAAGACATCTTCCAAACGCTTCAGTTGACTCTAACACTGGCATACAATGAGCCCACATGTATATGATACCATGGAAACTTCTCTCCCCAAAAGGAGACTACCAACACGTGTCATGTTTGCAGCCAAAACCAACACAGCTTCTAAGCCAGAAAGCATAAAACGACCTAGAAATCACTGAAGCACATGCTTGAATTTCCATTCAAATAAATATAACCCTATGCAGTGGTTTCACATAAGTATTTATTAGATCAAGCCCTAGGCTCACACTAGGATATGCATTTGTATGTGCACGCTTCTTTTTTTGTAATTCTTTGAAAGGGAAAAAAATATTCCCAGCACCTCGGCTCAGCATTTAACATAGCAAGGTGCCTTTAGCAGTGGAAGACAGGAATGTTTCAGGTGACAATACAGAGCAAGTGTCTGCAGAGACTCTCAATATAGGAGCAAAAGGAGGTTGACATCTCTACACCTCCTTGTCGCTCTAAAGCTCCCTACCCTTCTAAAATCTGTATATAGATACCCATTTTCAACTAAATACATGTACACAGTAAAAGCTCTGTGCAGCATTTGGTTCTTTACTTATATTTTCTAATTATTTTGTTAATTAAGATTGGGAAAGGTTTGCAAAGGAAACAGGGACGAGGAAAACATGGTTTAGGGAAGTGAGGTATACAGCTCCCATGGACTAAAGCAGATGTTACCTAATCTGTGCATTACAAAAATAAATTTATCATTCCTGCAGGACTATTTTAAATAATTTTTCCAGTGCAGAAATGTAGTTCTTTGCACTCATTTAAAGGACAAAGAAATACAACTTTCAAGGGGATCCTTATAAGATAGCCAATTGACTTGGCCATTTAAAGCCTGTGAAGACTGATAAACTTGTTTTGTGATAACGTGCATGATCTAAGGTATGCCAGAGAGGAAAAAGCTTGTTTATATCAATGTTACAGATTAGCAAAACAATTGTAATATGATTACAATATGGATTCCAATGTGGGTGAGTTTGGGTTTTTTTGGAGGGAAAAATGTGGGGGTTGGGAGAGGTTTCGTTTGTTTTGTTGGTTTAGGTTTTTTCTTTTTTTGCTCTTTTTAATATCAAACAATCAATTATTTTCTTAAGAAAATCTAATTTCCACACGGTGTATTAACCATCTGGACAAATGCAGTTACTTAAGGACTGGGATTATTATGTTGTGCTGGTAAGGTCCATGGATGATAGAAGATGTGGTTTCTAGCCTATGAGTGAGTAATGGACAAGAATATTGGTACAGAAAAATCTGCCTAAGTCAGATGATAACTTGAAGAGCATTTCACTTTCTGTATGCTCACACAGTTCAAACCCAGACTAGATGGGATTCTTCACTATAGCTAAAAAGAGAACTAAAAATACTATCAAGAATATAAGTAAATTGATTTAGAGAAATTTAACAAACATTTTACTTGAAATAAAGGAGACATGTCTTCTAAATATCCTTTGGTATGCAAGTTCAAAACTGTGCTACGAAGTTAATACTGCTAACTACTTGATCTCATTTATATACAGGTATGAAAAGTAGGTCAGTTTTCAGTTTCTTTTAGATATATATATTTACACTCCTACTTACTGATCTTCAAAGGTAAGCATATGTTAAACTTTGATAAATATTATTAGAGTTGTTCCAAAAATTAAACATATGAAGATATCACAAAGAAGATCCTGACAAATGTAGTGCTATGAAAAAAATGTCACTTAAGACTTGTTTGTTCTAAATTCCTCATTTGAATCCTCTCATCTCAAAACTTTACTTTTTACACTTAAACAAATCTTTGATCACAACCAAAGGAGAATCTTATTTCACCAATACTACCTGAAAAACAAAATGGGATCCTAAGCTTTACTGACTTGAGGAAATCAAAGAATTATGAAAGTCAGTTCACCAATTCACAGCGCACTGCATAATAGGCTGCAATTCAACTGTCCCAAACACCTAATCTGAAAAATTATTTCCCATTTTTAAACATTACTGTATACTTTTTATGCAAATAAGTTAAACTGAAAGAAACAACATACCAGCTAATGCTCACACTTTTGATTTGTCTTTTATTTAAAGCTGGTTTTAAAGAGAGACAAAGTGCAGATCTTCAAAGCTATGGAGGTCCTTCCAGATGGCCTCTGGCAAGGATGCCAAGCATGTTCCACCCCTAAAGACCAGACAGAAGATCCAAAGGCCACGGATGTTGCCATTCTACCTGGGGCATAAAGCAGCATCTCGGAGCTCACCTGCCCCCTCCTCATTCTGCTGCTCCTGCTTTGTACTAAGCACACACTAGCCTTGAGTTTGAGAGCCCAAGAACTGTCCACATTTAAACCTGTCCCAGGTATTTGTGATGATCACCCAGTGCTTGTGATGGACTAAAATTATGGTATTCAAATGTCAAAAGGTCTTCATCATAAACTACTTCAATTATTGCAACATATTTTACTTAAGCTGACACACTGTATTTAGTACTCTTTAATATTTAACTACTAAAAATGTTAATTTAACTTTTGTATAAACGTACCTAACCCACAATAGGATGTTTTCAAATGCATATACAAACCCCTCTGTGCAACTGACAAGCAGAAAACTGTTCTCCCACCAAACACTACTTAAGACTCATCTCCCTTTTCCCACTTGATTCTCATAGTCTAAAGCATGATCATTTCCTGCCCCCTTCCCCTGCAAATAAACACTTAGCCTTGTCTATGCATTTAAACATACATATAAAACCCATCAATTCAATGCCCCAACGGAGTTTTTTCAATCTCCCATAACACAGAAAGATCTCACATTCTGAGCTGAAATACTTCTAAACTACTCTCCAAAGAGTTTCCCTGAAATCCCTTCTTCATGAAATCATAATGAACAAACATACTTCACATTCTCATGAACAAATTTAATACTTCCGCAGTATCCTTAGTATTCTTACTGGATAGGTGATTGATTAAAAATAGTATTTTTCATTTCTCTATAGCTTATTTGAAAATACAGGATGTGGGTTAACTTACTTTTTTTTTTTTTTTACATACATGGAGTATGAAAAAACCCACACCACTCTACTTTTGGAAGTTTAATCCTCTCTTGGCAAGTGACTCAGGAAAATAATTCTTATTTTCTCCTAACTTTCCAGACAATCCAGTCTGTCACAGTGATTAGGCAGAATATTGCAACTATGCATAGACCCACTTGTTCACTAATCTGATTTATTACTTCATTTACAAAAGTTAAGAAAATGCAACACAGCTTTCTTTACAAAGTACACCGATCAGCCATCAAGAGGGATTTTTTTTCCAGTAAAGAAAGTGAGGAGGAAAAATCAGTTTGAATGAGACTAACGTAACTTGTAAAGATGATCCTTTAGTAGGGTAAGGAGGTATTATTATTTCTGTAAAGCTAATAAATATTGTGCTTAAAGTTTATGAAATAAGATTATACATTATGTTCCTCAGGTAGTTCAACAACTCCCCAGCCACAGGGAATATCTGATAACATTTATGAGAGATACAACACACATTCATTTCAATAAATAAATAAAAAATAACAAGAAAAGCAATGATAGAG